GAATGGGAACGGTAGAGAGGAGAAAAATAATGTTTGGGAGTTTTAAGGGGTTGTTACAGACATTCTGAGGGCTAAGGCGGAGGTTGAGGATTCTGTGGGTCCGAACGTTCGACATTTATCCTTTAAGCTCGTGGGGTCAAACGGTTTGTGGAGAGAAGAGATTTTTTTTTATCGGTGGACGTAGATGAAACAGCGAGAGGGTGAGGGTGGAAAGGTCGAAGTGAATTTTGAGATTTTTGGGAAAAATATCGCATTGAGAATCAATTAATTAAATAATTTTTGGGGTATCGTTATGATTTTGAACTCAATCAAGTTGAAAATTAATGGAGATAATACGATACGAGGTATGAATCAAAAAGTAACTAACCTGTGGAGTTGAGGGTTATAAATGGCACTCGGATACTTCGGAAAATTTCCAATTAAAGTTTCTATCATTGAGGGAATTCGATAAATCGTTCGTCCGAGGACTGCAAGGGTAGATCGGTGGCGAAAGATAATAGGAGATACTTGAACAATCGATTTAACTGGAATTTATGGAGTAGAACGACTCAAACTCGACTGAAAGTGCGAAATTTGAAGTGACAAAAAATGGAGAGCCAGTTTTTTCCTCTGAAAAAAATAAATAAAATTAATGGGATTCCCTTACAAATCCAATCCGTCAATACCTGATACCAATACCCTGACGGTTACAATTTGAAGAGAAAAAAAGTTTAATTTGTGAGGAATTCATGGACTTGTCGTACTCGATGTATATACAATGAGTACGAGACGCAGACGATTAATTACCGACAATTGGATCGATCCGTGATTAATCACAGTCGCATTTTCCAACTGACCATGCGTGTCCCTATCGGTCTCTATGTACCAGTCTTATCGGATGGAAATGAAACAACCCCGGGGTTGACAAGCCGATGGTTCTCGTTGTTTATCGATGAATTTGTTACCCCCATCGAAAGGCAATAGAGGCATCTCGCTCGAATATTAAATTGCCCTTCAAGTGATTAATGTAGGTTCAATTGGCGGAGAGCAATTGAAGAGAAAAATAAAACTCGGAGGTCTCGTCAAATGATTTCTATTTGAATTGTTGGGAATCGACTGGGAAACGAATAATTTCTTTATCGACTTTCTAGTATTTTCGTGGTTAATATTTAATGGGTTATCCACACAAATTATTTAGTAATCAAAATTCCATTTTAATCTATACATAATTGGACGCTGAAATATTTCATTACGCAATTATCTGATGCATTCTGCCCCGAAATTTTATTAATCTTCATCGGAATAGCATCTCCCCATAAATCAATATATTTTAATGAATGAACGATGCAAACCCGGTTTTTCAATTCAATTTTAGTCTCTTTGTTTTGTACCCCATTAATTGCACAGTGTGAGTAGTTTTTTTTTTAAATTGTCAACTTTTTTCTTATTCCTGTGTGCTGTGCATTATATTCACTGAATATTGACTCGCTGGGAATTGAAACCGACATACGGTGGATTTACAATCCCCAAAAATGAGACGACTGTGTTATAAACCCAGAAACACGAACTCGCACTTTAGCCCCCTGGGCCATGGTGTTTTAACGGTCCGCTTTTATTTGAAAACCTAAATGGTATAGTGCAGCAACCGAGAGGAAGCTGAAGGGTTAACGAAGCCCTTTCACGTCTCACCTCCTTCCGCGCTTACTTTCATGGAAATGAAACACTTATTTTTAGCTGGGAAAAATTGGTTTTCGTATATTCACTTTTTATTTCCCCTTTTTTTCTACAGGCAATCTCTTCCCTCGCGTTATATTTTCCATTCTAATTTTTTTTTTCCTCGTTTTATGTTCAAGTATTTACGCTCAATTTACCCTTTTGATAAAAAAATTTGATGAAAGATTTTGCAATAACAATTTTAGACTTGAATCGGAAAATACTCGATTATTATTTGCTTTGATATTTTCCAGCGATGGAGGATCTCAGGTGAATTAATAATTGAATTTTTATCAATTTGTTAACATCGCGTAATCAACAAAAAAATTTTAGGACTTTGTTATTGCGTTTGAATTAATTTCCGAGGGGTGATTATGTTTATTCAAAAAATAATGATCAATTAATTAATATGAGGACGAGAGTCTGATGCGATTTTTGAGGTGCAATGGCGAAATATTGTTTACGTACAGTTTCGTGGGGAAAAACCGGAAATTACCCGGTATTAAACAAAATGTGTCGTATTCAGGTAGTGTCTTGGATTTATAGCCAAAAGCGGGAAATAGGGGATGGAAGAAGGCGCTTGCTTCGTCATGAACCCGATCACGAAGTAACAATTCAAGCGACCAGAACTGAGGTGGCATTTTGCGAGAGACTAAGCTCCTGCAGTCGTGAGACTTAGCTCTCTTCATTACCCCCAGTGTTTCGGTTTTCTCCGGTGAATAATTCACCCAGTCATATTAGATTGCAATCATCCGGTTTTATTCAACGTAAAACAATTTAAAGTCCGCAGACAAAAAGTCGAACAAACATTAAATGAGAAATTTGTTTTTCCCCACGAGACAATAGCACCCAATCAACCCAAGAAGATTAATCATTCAATTATCAAGACATTTGTCATTTGGAAATATTTTATTTTATCTACAAAAAAAAAATCCTACGAAATTTGGCAAAGGGAAATAGAAATGGTGAAGCAAATACATGTCCTCCAAATAGATGTCCATTTTCACCAAGAGAAATGGATAAAAAAAATGAAGAAAAAAAGAGGGGACAAACGAAAAATATAGAAAATAGAAAAAATCAGATTGGCATGAAATCCAAAGCAATTTCGAACTCTGAACACTGGGATGATTGTCTGGTAGAGTCAATAAACTGTGCCAACAGCTCCGAGTTTTGAATTTGGGAATAGGATGGGGTTGGGAAGTGAATTGGTTTGAATAACAGTAGCAATCAGCTGGAGGCAGAGAGTCCACAGTGACCCAGCTATGACCCCCCAACGTGTTTGCATGCACTCACCCTCATTTTCTCCAGCTTAATGCTAACCTAAACGCTCTTATAACGACATAACTACATAGATACCATCCTGGAATCTTGGCTAAGAAACAAAAACCTTGATAATGATAATTACTACGCAAACCGCACGACTTTTTCAACTCGGATAATTAGATGAAAATATGTGATAAATTACTTTTACCTCGTGTAACAGAATTTTCGTATAAAAACAATTTAAAAGCTCAAGTATAGGAATTCAATAAAAAATCGAGAATTATCGGTAATTTAATTCTTCAATGAAATTAGTATTCAATAAATAATTACGTCCCTGGATAATTTAATACTCATTCAAGAGACTGAAAAGACCGCAACATCGGAAAACCGTGAAAAACTAATTAACCGAAGCAAAAGTATAATAACGAAGTGGTAAACTCGAACATTGTTAAGTCCCCTTGTATATTCTGTTGATGATGCCCCTCCAGGGGCTATTTGGTAGTAATATCACTTGGTTACACGTACTCCATGTACTTTGCGTGACTCCAACAGCATTACTATCCCCGGATAGGGCGCAAAATTGTTATTGCCACTCGCTAAAAAATACACAGACACGGAATTCTTTCTCTCTCATCCCTTTTTCCCCTGAAACTTTGATAATGGCCCCAGAAAAGGTGTCAGGACACCTCCAGACAAAATTAAATGAAAAAAAATCCACTGCGAGGCAAAATCATCTCTCGTTCGCTTTCTTTTTTCATTCAATTTTCATCCACACGTGTGGAAAAATAACTATTAAAAGAAAAATCGGGACTAATTAATTATTATTATGGAAATTAACTCCACCTGCATTTTAGTTTTATGTGAACTGGAAAAAATAGACAGAACCGGAATTCTTTCTCTCGTTTTCGCCTGAAAGTTTGATAATGCCCTCAGAATAGGTAGGGTACACCTCCGGGTACACTTTACAGGTCTAACGAGTCGTGATAATTGTTTTTAAAATTGTGCGGTCGCTTGAAGAATGACGAACCGCGTAATTTACACATGGCAGTGTAGAATCCCCGGTTGTAACTCATCTCGTTGGCATTTAAAGGTGAGAGGGGAATAAAAAAAAAAATTCATGAATGGTGGGCACGTGTCAAATGGTCGTGCCCGAGGATGGTAAAGCCATTACTCAAGGCTCAACTGTTTTGCTGGTTACTTGACACCTAATCAAGCCATGGTATTCCGAGAATGTAAATGTGTGTTATTTTTTTAGGTTTATCTAGAATTTATCTTCATCTCAAATCAATTTTAAAAAATTGCAGTAAAAATTTTAATCCAATGGCTTGAACGTTTTAAGAATTTTTCATCATAAAACTTTGCATTTCAGATAGTGTCATGTCGTTTTTCCATTTTAATTGAATAATTGTTCGAATTTTCTGAGGGTATAGTTCGTTCTCGGTTATCTGAGGATCGACTGCAGTAAAAAGGGTTTTCCCGGGGTTTTGCGTCTGAAATATACCGCAGTTGCTAATGCCCCCACTCTCATTACTGATACTTTAATTATTCAACGAAAAATGGTAGTCACTGGGTATAAATATTTGCTGTGGATCCATTAGGTTAATTAAATTGTTTAGTTGATAATTAACGTTTGAGCTGAGAAATTAAATAGGGAGTGACAGCCATTTGAGGATTTCAGATAGTTTTTGTCACTCGTCAATCGGCTTTTTATTTATATCCCACTGTCGCCATTCGAGGCGCATTTCCCAATTTAATTTAATTCTCAAGTGAATCCCCAGAACAGAACAGCGATTAATTATTGACTCATCAATGAGTGACCAAGTAGATTTTTTATAATTTCCACCTTTACTTCATTATCTTGTCGCAGTATTGCCATTTTTTTTCGTAAAATCACTGGATATCCAGATGATTCCACGCGTAATCGAATTCGTCAATTAAAAATTCATTATTTTAATTGGTTTTTAACCGCTTCAACGATTGCTTTCCACGCGAAGAACCCCTGAAAATTTTCGGCAGTAATTAAAACAAATTCCACATGTACTCACCGAAATTCTGAAAATTTTTAGCAGTCTGAATGATGAACAGCTCACCCTCCCATAAAACTTCTCATCAATAATCCACAGTTCACTGAAGTTCACGACATCAAAGCCAAATGTCGAATCAAATCGTGAAAGCCGAAAAAAAAATCTCAACTTCTCCCCACTGGCCCCTGAAACCGTTTGATTCCGTGAAATCACGTTAACCTAATGATCAATATCACTCTGATCCCATCAATCTCGCTCGACGATCCAGAGCAAAGGTTCGTCAATCGCCGTTGAAGAGGGTCGTTTCTCCTCCAATAATTTCCATGAAATCAAGCCTCAACGGCTCCTCCCAACAGCCCATCAACATAATCAGTAATCACAAATCTCCAACATGAAATAATCAATCAGTTGTCCCCTCGTCACTAAATCCTTCCCACTATTTCATTCACCGATCAATTCTTCTTATTCGTCACCAATTAATATATTAAATCAATTTAATTATTCATTACAATATTTCACAATTCACCGGTTTGAAAAAAAAAAATCCCTCTAATCCATAACATTAAAAAAAAATCAATTCTCATTGCTATGAATAAATAATTGAGTCTCTGCATAAACAAACATTACACATCAATGAATTTAAAACGTCATCACTAATTACGAAACGATATTTTATGGAATGAATAACTCAGTCGCTGAATTAACTAACTCCGTGTATCAATTGATTTAGGATGCTCCCAGATCCTTGATCACGTCTGAAGTGGAATGATGCAGAACTGGATGTTATGTAGCACCAGCAAGTGATTGTGGTGATGGACAAGGGCACACACTGCGTCGGTCCTCTTGGAGGTGGTGGTGAAAAAGAGGGGGGAGACCTGGAGGCTGTATGTGGAGGGAGTGGAAGTCAGAGACTCAGGACTCAGGACTCAGAGAGCTCGTGACACTCAGGCTGCCGGCACATTGCGTACTGCTCGGTCTCCCAATGCGCTACTATCCAAACCACCGGCACAACCAACTGGCGCAAGCTCTTCACCTCTCTACACTTCGACTGGGCCAATGTAAGAACTCTATGGTACCTGTGAGAATGAGCTTTATGTCAGTTGAGAACATGCCACCTCTACTATTTTTTTTTCCCCAAATTTTTACACCAGATATTTCTCAAGATAACCACTCAAAATTTGCACCTTTCCAATTTTTTTTTCTCTCGGCAAGTCTTCATGGTACAGCCATAAATTCAATTAAATTCATTTGATTAATCAGGACTCTGAGAATTTTGAGGTCAGCACCATTAATTTTCTTTAAAATGTCTGTCAGAATAACTTGAAGAATTTTTCACTCAATCGTAACGCAGACGCGAGTAAATTCTACCCTACGTTCCCCTCACAATTTTATTCCGTTTTTTATTAACCATATAGTACCTCTCTAACATACGCACAATATGAAGAGAGAAAAAAAGGGTGAATGGGAAAAAAACGCAACAAAGACCTTTGAAAGACCGAGTGAGGTCACATGAATGTAATGTGTACTTGAATTAAATTTAACCCCAACACAGCATACCCAGTAGAACAGTAGCACATGAATAAAATGAAACTGTTAACCGTTAAGGATGAAACGTTCTATCAAGGGTTTTTTATTAAATTTTTGCTCCTGCAAATTGAATTACAAAATAATGCTCTTATAACTTGGTAATTGGATATTTAGTTGAAGAGCGAAATAACTATTTGGAATACGCGTATGTAAATGAGTTTCAATGATTTTTCAATTGAAATCAACCAGGTCACGCGATAACATGAGCACAAATTTGTAATAATTAGCGAGGGATGGCTGGGAAAAATTGTCGATGCGACAGCGAATAAGTCGGGAATATTGCTCGGAAAATAAATGATACCGGTGTAATGTGCTGGGGTGAAAATTTGTAAAAGCGCCAACATCAATTTCCGATGACTCAATGGACATTAATGTCACACCCAATGCCCTGTACCACCGTTAAATCCTCCCCGACATTTAAAAAAGTGAACACAATATCCCCATCTACACGTAAACTTGAAAAATTATTTCCAAGACAAGAGAACAGTCGCCCCATGTGCACCCATTATTATGATGAAAGGAGAAAGCTTTCTCTTAAGGCTAAGTGCATCCTAATAGAGGATGGTGCATCGTAAATATAATGGCGCTATTTATAGTCCGGGAGAAACCATTACGCTCCAGTCTACTTTGCCTCAATTCAACCCTTTTGTTTATTTTTTTCAATTTGGCAACAGTAAGTTGCAATATTTTGGGGAAGGAAACTCGATTAGCTCAATAAAAGTGCAAATTATTAATTCGTTCGATTTATTTTTTGTTGCAGGGACTCAATGGATCCTGCCATCGATCTGGACAAGCTAAAATAATCTTCAGAGGCTCTCGGTTTGGATCATTCCATCATTCCTCGGTGCTCCATCCTGTAGGGGATCTGGTGAGTAGCCAAGTTTTCCACTTCTTTCCAACTTTTTTTTTTTCTCTTCCTATTATTTTCTCCCTCTTTTATTTATCTTTCTTCAGTCGGTCTCGTTAGGGAACTGTCTTCCCCGCGATGCACGCGGTGGTGCTCTAATACCACGAGATAAGATAAGCCGACACGTACGTCTACTAGGGATTGACGGGGAATAAAAAAAAAACCGTTGTAAATTTTTGTACAACTTTTTCTATAGTTTTTTCAGGGAGAGTTTTGTTCGGGGGTTACGAGTTAGTTAATGGGATTTAGGGGTGGGTAAGGAAAGTTGAATGAGAATTTAGAAATCCATCCCCCAATTTTTTCGTCAATGTCTACCGATGGGATTTAATTTTCCAAATTGTCGTGAATTAGGGACGAGGATTTCTCTGAATTTCAAACAAACAAATTTCATTCGCTTGTTTATCCGCTGAGTATTTAGACCGCGAGTATATTTTGCATTCGGATCCCGGAAAATTCTCGTTGCCGAAAGAATTTCAATGGAAAATCACGTGAAGTACGTGAATTATTTCGCGAGTAATAATCCTGTATCACAATTTGTCCGGGCAGTGAAAATTGAAATAAATTGATCCTTGAAATTGAAAGTCACAAAGCGACATAAACCCGTTGAATTTAAACGATTTGATTGCGGTAGGTCGAGGCTGCCACTCGACCATTAAATGATAAGTATCGATATATCTTCCACTCCCCACTATCCCGGGTAAAAAAAATTGTAATCGAAATATTTTTTCCAAATTTTCCAAAAATTTCTGAAAAAAAATTCTATTCTCATCTCTCAATTGAATTCAATTTTTTTTTGACTAATCTCAAATCCGCTACTCAGAACTCACAAGTTTTCCCGAGAATTTTCACAAAAAAATTGATTTTCAAAAAAAAATGTTTTCATCGAGTTTTGAAAAAAAATAATTTCCCAAAATTTTTCCAGAAATTTTTTAAAAATTAGGAAAAAATATTCCGATTACCATTTTTTTTAACCCGGGATTAACCATTAGCTAATTGCTGCACCGAGTGGCATTATACATTACACCCTATTCGCAAATCCATAGTCAAGGTAATAAAATATTACCATCGCATTATAGATCATGAAACGATGACTAAATGACCGTCTCTCACTTGAAATTCTACTGAAAAAATGCTTCGTAAATTTAGAGCCAACTCCAATTGTTTAGTCGACACAAAAAAAATAACTCGTAAAATAATTCATAGGATTCGTGCGGGAAATCCTCGAAAATAATTGAAATTCTATAATTTTTTTATTCCGGGAGTTTTGACGGGGGGAAATGAATCGTTGTATTGGCATTTTTCTGACGGAAGTGCTTCTGACTCTTTGATAAAATGTCGACGGTAAAGCTCCCTCGGGCGACCGTCCGATGATTTTTATTTTCTCACAAATGTCACGCAAAGTTTTAAATAAATACTGAGCAGATGACATCATGAGCTCGTCCAAGCGAATCTCAACAGTTCACCGCCCGCCATTGTTCACGCAATTTACTGTTATAACCGGAATTGCGAGAAGACATTTTCCCAACGAGTTGCAATAAAAATATAATTGACAAAAAAAATTCAATTGTCCATGAACAAAGGGAGATAATATTCGAATTAATGCACTGAGAAAACAAATTCAACCAATTAGGTTGCTGTTTATTCTGGGAGTCGTCAAAAGCATTGTGATGAACCGCCAATTCGCGTTTGCCATTAATTATTTTGATATTGAATTATGGAGAGTGAATTTACTCGATATGACGGATGATATTATCAAAGAAATAGTGAACTAGATTTGTTAGACTGCAAAATTACTCTCACAAAGCGGAAAATTAAACGACATAACAAGACGAAAAAATATATAACCCACGACCGAAGGAAACAAGTCAAATAATTATGGAAGGGAAATTAATCATGGAATCGATCATAACTTTTTTTGAATCCCTCAAAAAAAAAAAATTGGAAAAAACTGAAAGGATTAACCTCGACCCCGAAACTTGTCGTGTCGCGAAAAGTAAAGAGATTTAACCACCGGATTACGAGGATCGATTATGCGGAAGCTGAAGACTCGCGTGACTTCAATCTCGCTCAAACAAAAGTCCGGGGGGAAAACTCACAACCAACTCACGCTTTCTATTCTTTTTTCTTTCAAGCATTCACCCGAATCCTCCCTCCTTCTTTTGAAAAGATTGAAAAGGACAACATGTGAAAGCTCTGTGGATCAACGAATTACGAGGATAAAAATCGGTTTAAAAAATCCCAATTACCTGTCACAAACCCTGACTAGATCGTCTTAATCGAGAATCAATGAAAGACTCTATTTTTCATACCAAATTGTTAGTCTCGGAATCTTCTCGTTTTTCCGCGTGAAAAGTGGTAGATAAGACCCCTGTGTGCACAGACCCAGTTTCTTTTCAAGAATATTCGTGGTTGAGGAGTGAGAACTGAAAAATAAGAGGATGAGAAATAAGAAATGCAAAGAAATTGAGGTCTACGGTGCTATTTAGCGTTGCAAAATGCATGAAATCGCCGGTGGTAATTTTCGTCCTCCTTTTCTCGGCCTCTTCACATTTGTTTACATCCTCGTTTTACGTCCAGGACGAGAAGCTTTTATCGTTTTCCAATGCTTTGCAGGCCCCCTCCCTCTCCCCACGATTTATGACTACCGAGCACATAATATCGCACTCATGAATATCTCGGTACTGTGCC